CAATATTGGTTGAATGTTAATCCTTGTTAACAGCACTGCCTTGACATCCCTGGAAGCAAAGCATTTCTGCAGAGCAGAGCTTGCCCTCTGCGTTCTGCTGGTGTACTTTAACCCCAAGATGAGATCATCACTTCCAGGAATAAGACTGAGTTTAGTTTCCATTTGTGCTTGGCCCTTCTGCTCACACCAGCCATATGGGTAGCTGCACTGTCAGGGGAGATACATGGAGGCAAGGATACAGATTGGAGACCTCAGATGGCTGAAGAGCACTGGCCATAAAGAACCTAACAGGTCATAGTAGTTATTACTTCATAGGTGCCTAGACCAGTTAAGCACCCTTAGAGAAGGGCAGAGCACTTTTATTTTCCACTGGGTGCCACATCTTATGGGGCTAACTGTAGCTGTGGTCCATCCTGATGTGGTCACTGGTAGGTTAACTGGTCCCTTCTTCAGAGCAGTGACCTGTAACTGACTGACTTCTTATTCAAAAGACTAAATCGAACTTGATTTTGAGATTTTAGAAGAGTCCTCATTTTTCTTAATTCCCTGATGAATTGCTTTGCCCAGTTTCAAAAAAGCAACAACAAAAAGACTCATCTAATTTGAGATATCCATCTAAGGACCTATTGTTACTTAAAATGAACTTGATTGCTTCTTTTAAAAAATCAAGATGATGATAAGGTAAACATTTTTTAACCCAAATATCCTTATCCTATTACCTAAACTGTAAGGCATGACAAATAATGATTTCTTCATCACCCTACAACCCTTACCTAGCCACAGTGTAATAAAATAAAAAATTTAACCACAGCCTTTCCTTTGAATTTACTTGCAATGGACCACCATTTTAGACTATAAGATTTTTCTCTTTGAGTCACAGTGTAGTACTACATACTTGCTTAGTTTTCATGAATGCTTTGCTCTCCTTTCACTAAATGTTAATTTGCATGAGATATTTGTGGCTTTAAAGAGATAGCATTGGCTCTCTGTGTCTACCAATCTAATTTCCTTGCATCTGAAGACAATCACAGAGTTCTGGAGAACATCATCAACAGCTCTGTTTTGACAGGGGATACACTCATTTCTAAGTGAATGCACAAAAATTAAAGACATTAGTCATATTTTGTTACATTCACGCAAGTGACACTTAAAGAATGTGGTCCAAACACATTATTGTTCAGATCATTTACATTTTTAACTTTCCTGAGGAAAGCATACCTTCATTAGCAAGCTGTAATCCAAATTATAGTTTCTCATTTATTAAAGCTGTAAAAATACCTTAAATCAGCTGCATATGTCTGAAATAATAACAAAAATTAGTGCATTAGGAAAAATTATCTGAATGTGAGAGAGCTATAAATAGACAGGAGGTGAATTGGACAGTCAACGGATTCTGAGTTGGATTAAAAACATCTTACTTAAGCCAAAAATATGGCAACCAATATTCTCTGTTATAAAAATATTTGAGATTAATTTAGTTTCATGAAAGCTGTCAGAAGCTGAAATGAATAGCAGAAATTCTCTGTTTATTTACAAGCCAATGCTATACCTGAAGACTAAAGTGAGGCACCTTATGAGCAGTGACAGCAAGCCTTTGATTGTATTCAAAAATCCTTTTTGCTGGTGGGTAAGAATGACCTGTATGTTCATGTTCTCTTGGAGTAACCTCTGCCTTGATAACGCTTGTCATTTGAGCAAATGGTATGACAGGTCTGTGAGGTGGATTACTACTGTCCACTAGAGGCTGTAATGAGACCAACAATGTCATTTTATGACAGATTGAAGACGTGAACTCTAACGATCAATAATTGTGAGATTACTTTTCACACTCAATACACTGTCAATCACTGCATTTCCCTGAATGCTAGTGTTAAAAAAGAAAAAAATTCCAACTTATTATGCTTCCTATTCTCCTATTTTTCTAAGTACTGTTAATTGTATAAAACATGCTGTATAGATGGCACATTACAACTACTGAATTGGAAAACAGTTTCTTCTAGACAGTGTGCATCTTGCATGCCAAATTGTTTAGCATCTTTTGGTCAGAACTATGTTCTCCTGGGAGTCCTATCAGTTTCAGCACATCACCAGCAGTAAATGAAAACGCTTGGGTCTATGTGAGTTCTTGTGTCCCACTCACTTGCCTTCATCAGCACCTCGATGTTTTGTGGAATCCCTTGTGCAGGGAATATACTGAGGCCCGGTACAGGCCCTTGGCAGGGGAACTGTTGAGGCACAAGGACATCTTGTGACATGGTTGCATATCCTGTGTGTTAGACCATGTTTGTAGAGGCATAGTCCCCTCATCCCTTGTCTGTAAATGCAACCAACACGTATCAAGTCAGAACGGAGGTGAGAGTGGCTTATGAACCTGACGTGGCTGGTGGCAGTTGTGGCACTTCCCAGAGCCATGGGTGAAGTGCCTGCTGACTCAGGAAAGCACTATTGCTTTAACTTACAATGCACTTACATTGTGGGGGTCTCTTTTCTACTCTGAAGCAGAAACACAAAGAAAGATGTAAAACCCTAGAGTATACAGTGGCAAAAAATGAAGGTCCTGAGGCAAACACTATAGTCACAGAGTGGAGGAACACACAAGCCTCTTACATGAGCCTGCTGCAGAAGGGAAAGTTGCCCAAAGCTTGCTTCAGCATGAATGTGGCTTCTCTTTCTCTGCGTGTGCCACACCTCTTGGCAAGGTGAATGTTTGAGAAGGAAAGATTCCTTTCTCCTGAGGTAACACTCTGTACTACTGGAATAAAAAAGGTGGCAGACAGAATGCCTTGTACTCTGAATTGAACCTTGATGATGGGTTTTCAGTTTCTCCAGGGCTTTCACTTGATTTTCAGTAATCTCCAGTCTTTGTCTCTTTCCCTTGGTTCCTTTTATTAAATCAATGAACCTTACATTAGCTGGGTGAATACAATTTCGCTGTCTGCTTTGCTGCTGTAGATTCACTCTCTTGTAGTACTGAGTGGCATGTTTGTCCAGATATCTTGGCCTGTTGCTGCTTCTGTCTCCAGATAACTGCTAGAACAGAAAATCACATTGATTTTCATAGTGAACCCAAACTAAAGATACAGGAAGTGCTGTGGTAAAGGATCCTTATTTTTCGTAAAGCTAGTCTGTATTACAGTATCAACTCTTAAATCCAGAACGCTGCAGCTTACAATCTTATTACTACGTTCTTTAGCAATTACAGTAATCCAGTACAGTCCTGTATAGAAGGGACTCCTTTGCTGATCTGCATAATGGCAGGCTGAGTCCTAGGGTATTTTGCATCTAGACTCTAATGCTAGATTTAATTTGCAGCTAAAACCTAATGCTAATATAAAATGGACACATGGGAGGTAAACCTGCTAGAAACCCGGTACCTTGGAGCTTATTGTCGTGGCAAATTGGTACAAGCTGCAATAAAGAGCTTGATCTGGATGGCCATATTACATCTCAGGCCTTTCTTAGGCCTGGGACCCCACAGTGTCTAGCTCCTTGGAGCTGGCATGTAACAGCCTTTGGTATTTATGCAACATTTTTTTGCAATGTCCTTGGGGTGGGGAGAGGCCTCTGTGCTCTACTTCTCTTCCTGATGCCAAAGCAGAGAGTGAATGGCTTCTTATGGACCACTGTTGGGTTGCATGCAAGCATAGCATCCCACTATCCTTTGGCTGCATTCATCCTAGTCATTGCTTTCATAATCAGTTTTATTTCTTTAAGTTATACCTAGCTTGGTAAGTTGATTTTTGGGGTGGGGGGAGGTTGGTTGTTTGGTTTTAAAATTTTTTTTAATGTGAAGATCAGACTGAGACAGTCCAGAAAGGAAGATACTTTCTCTGGTCTCTGTTTTGCGTCTGTGCTTGTTACTTGCCCATCACTGAAGTTTATGGCACTTGCAGACACCTGTGTTGAGGGAAGTAAGAGGGTAACACACTGACACTGGAGTGCCAGGGGAGTGTAAGTTGCCATAGTTGGTGGGGACTTGAGAGGGGAGTTCAGGAGAGGCTCACAGTGGTCTGCAGACAACTGGGAGAAATGCAAAAGGATCTTTGATGAAACCAGTGCTGAGGAATCCAGAGGGAGTTAGTACCCAAACATGCGTGGTTCAGCCCTGCCTGTCTTGTAGTTCAGTGACGGTATGAGTCAGAGTCTCTTTGGTCTGAATGAAGTGGAAGGTACTTTCTACAAAGCAACTCAAGCATATGCCAAGGATCCGGATAAATAAAACTAATTCAGAAAAAGGGAGTGGGATGCAGGCTCTTGCTCTAAATCACTTCACAGTTCGCCACAGCGAAATGCAATATGGCATCTTAAATAAAATCACCCTCTTCTGACTCTCGCAGAGGCTGCTTCAGAGCATTCCCTGGTTTCCAGCACAGTTTTATTTCCTCCCTTAGAGAGACAGAGCAGCCTTGACTGAGCAACCGATTTTCATGCATCCTTTAAACCAGCATTCCCTGCCATTTCTGAAGGACAGCACACGTCGCTAGCTGTCTGTTTCTTCCCCCTTAAACAATATAGGTTTGGGGTTGGGTTGTTTTTTTTTCTTTTTTTCTTTTTTTTTTCTTTTTTCTTTTTTTTTTTTTTTTCTTTTTCCCCTCCCCATCTCATTTCTTTCCGCCTGCAAAGTGATTTGAGAGCCCCGCGACGCAGCCTGCTACAGGAACGGGGACTTCTCTGGAACACTGGCGTGCGCAGGGATTAATCCCGCCGTAGAGAGCCAGCCTGGCCTTTGAAGTGTTACAAGGGAAAGGAGGAGGTAAGTGTCGAGGCGAGCCCCCAGCCCCCCTCCCCGCCCCCGGGCAGCGTGCGGCGGCCCGCAAAGGGTTAAAGGCCGTCTTGGCCCGGCGGTGCCGTGCGTATGCAATAATCTGTGTGGCTCTCTTGGCCGACTGCCAGAGTGTTGCCTTGCCTCCTCCTCCTCCTCCCTTCTC